CGACAATTTTTATCTATGCATTTTCGTTCCTTTCTTTATTCATCTGTTTGATGCTGTTTGTACATAATATTTTTGTTTTGTTTTCTATTTTGAATCACATGTATTGTTTCCTGTTTTGGTTTTGCAAAAGTTGACGATCGAAAACCTTCATCGAGCTCTACTACAACATCTTTACCAACATTTCCTGCCGATTCATTCGCAATTCGCTCTCCAATTGATACAGTTGAAAATATTTTGCAGAAGATTGTCATCGAAGATATTATCAAAAATCCAACGACATTCACAGGAAAAGAAAATATTTCAACATGGCTCGAAGAAGTAGAACATTTTTTTATTACTTCTATGTGGCCTGAAGATCTTCGATTACAGTATATACCACAATTTTTGAAGAATGATGCCAAGCAATGGTATAAAGATAATCAATCAATTATAATGTCGTGGAATGAATTTAAAACACAAATCAAGGAGGCCTATACCTCAACTTATGAAATCACAATTGCTTTTCAACGTTTAAAAAATTATCAACAAACTAATAATCAAACAGTTAAGCAATATTATACAGAAGTAATAAAATTGTGTCGAGAAGCCGATCCCAAAATGTCTGAACAAATCAAACTGCAGCATTTACTGGACAATTTGAAACCATCCATTAAATTAAAAGTTATTGAGAAAAATCCGAAAACAGTTGCGGAGTTTCTTGAGCATTCAAAAACTGTGGAAGATTTGAATACATTAATTAGTCGTGATCAAAATTTGAGCAATTTTGTATCAGATAATTTAACGGTAGTAGCTAATAATGTTTCTTCTCCTACAATTGGTTCTCAGACGTACGTAGCACATCCAAGGCGCTCTAATCATGACAATCACTCACCATACCAACATAATTCTATTTCCAATCAAATTGAATCATCATATCCAACCAACGAATCGTCTACTCAACCTCAATCTTCTTCACAAAATTATTCTGCAAATAACTACAATTCAAATACAAATCACCAACAACGTCAAAGTCAATCAAAACGTCGGGCTTCTCGTGGGTATACTCAGCGACGAGGCCCGCATTTTCAGTAGCGGAAGCATCCCTCGGTGGTGATGCCTGCGGTAATCATAACATTCAAAATCCATCGCTCGTGTTTATTTCAGCTTGTGTCAATAAAAGTCCAATGAAATTAATGATTGATACAGGCGCTACTAACACATTAATTACTGAAAAGGCATTATTATCGACCCATCATAAGGAATTCACTAGCAAATATCCTTGGAAATTATATCAGGCAGATGGACAAACACCATTAGAGGTCGTTGGAGTCGTTCAGTTACAAATTCAAATTAAATCTACAAACACAAATATATCGGCTTACGTTGTTAAACACCTTTGTACACCATGTCTTCTTGGAACTAAGTATATCAACAAATACAAATTCAAAATTGATGCCGGAGCACAAACCATCACAATAATTAATAACAAAGATGAGATCACTACCAACATTATCAAACATTCACATTCAATTCGCCTTCCCGTTCGTCTAATCAATCCTGTAATAGTACCACCATACGAAAACAGAAACGTCTTAGTATCTACAGACATTTCAACCGCAACAACGATATTTCAGCCGTCTTTTAAATTAATACAACGTACTCCGATTCTTTTATCGAATAACTTTTTAAACGTACGCAATTATCGTACTTACATTCTAATACAAAATCCTTCTTCTTTTCCACAATATCTATCAAAAAATTTATTTGTCGGCACAATTCAGTTACCACAATTTTCTGATACACTCTGTGCTTCATCGTCAATGGAAAGAAATAACGACCCTAATTCGGTGGCTGAAACTAACATTCATAACCTTTTAATTCATCTCACTGACGAATCCCAAAAACATGAATTAAAAGAAACTTTTGATCGTTATCGAAATATATTTGATACATTGACACCTGATGTGGCCAATAGTACCATTTGTCATGCTATCAATACAATAAATCATCCGCCTCCTTCTTCAAAACCATACCCTTTATCTTACAAAAAGAAAGAAGCATTATTCAATATTGTACAATCCTTAATCCAATCTGGTCATCTTCGTGAATCTCATTCGTCGTATTCCGAACCGGCAATCCTAGTGGACAAAAAAGATAACACGTACCGCTTAGTAATTGACTATAAAAAGCTCAATTCAATAACAATAAAAGATGAGTTTCCCCTTCCTAATATGGAGGAAACCCTCCAGGAAGTGGGAAGCGGATATAATTATTTTTCTAAACTGGATTTGAAATCTGGCTTTCAGCAACTACCTATTGATGAGAAAGATCGTCATAAGACAGCTTTCAGGACACCATTTGGACTTTATGAATGGAACGTTTTGGCTCAAGGGCTTAAAAATGCTCCGCCAACATTTCAACGGGTGTTATCAAAATTATTAGAAGATTGTCGACAGTTTTGTCTCGTCTATTTAGATGATATAATAATTTTCTCTAAATCTTTCGAGGAACACCGTATACACTTAGATCAAGTACTTTCTCGTCTACATCGTGCTAACTTCCAACTTAATCCACTAAAATGTGCGATCGCAATAGATTATCTTGGTCATCGTGTAACTCACACTGGCATTTCGCCATTACCAGAAAAAATTGCGTCCATTCTCTTGTTGAAAGAACGCAAGACGTTGAAAGAAGCTAATAAATTTCTGGGAGCGTTATCCTGGTATCGCAAGTTCATTCCACGATTTGCCACTACGGCTGCTCCAGTACACGCCGTTACAAATTTGCCCAAAAATTTGAGATATAAATTCAAATGGTCCATAGAGCAGTCCGATGCGTTTCATGAATTAAAGAAATTATTAACTGAAGCTCCACTCTTTCTTCATTTTCCAATTGATAATAATCATGTGATCTTATCTACCGATGCTGCGAAAAATGGCATTAGTAGTGTACTTCACCAGGACGTCGATGGTCAAATACACAATTTGTACTATCATAGTCAACTGATAAGCAATATCCAGCAACGGTACGATACGGGCGCAAAAGAAGCCCTTGCCATTGCTTTATCATTTAAACGAATGCATCAGTTTTGACTCGGAAGAGATATAATAATTTATACCAATCACTGTCCTCTATGTGAAATGCATGAGAAGACATTACGAAACTCGCTGGCAAACCGAATTTCTATTCTCCTCCAAGAATATAACATCACAGCCATTATTCATATTAAAGGCAAAGTAAATTGTTTACTAGATTATATGTCCAGATATCCAATTGAGTTCAATGATCCATACAATATAGATCCCAATTATGGCCTTGAAGTGAAAGTAGCAAACAATGATAAAAAGAAGGATCAGGGTGGGTCACCACCTTCCCGGGTGTTATTGACCGCAGTTACAACAAGACTTCAAAAGAAACGTCAAAATGAAAATCTTCAACCGGTTACAAATGATTTTTCTTTTACGGATTCCGACGTCACAGATCATAATACTACCAATGATATGACTGACATCAATCTCAATCGTTTTTCAATGGATCAAAATTCATTTGATCATGCTCCATTCAGTTGTAACAAATTTGACATAAGTCAATTACAAACTGAACAGCAAAAAGATGAAAATATCCAACAGAAAATAGAAGCATTAAATAAAGATCCGGATAAAGTCGATTTTGTGTTTAAAGACGGAATA